TTTATATTTGAAATTTAATGCAAATTAATTTATAAATTAATGAAAAATAAACTGCTTGAATGAATTTGCTTAACAGAATCTTGGGCTGGAAAGGGTTAGCAAAATTATAAGAAGAAAAGAGAGTATTTTCAACAAAAGAGGTTTAAAAAGGCCTCTAAAACACTGTTTGGACAAATGCATCAGCTACTACTCTGACTGAATTTCTCCTACCTATGCTACAAAAAATCTTTAAACTCTTTACTCCTAAAAACAATAATTTTGAAGTTGTTTTCAGGTTATAATTCAATAAAGATTCATCTAAAGGCTAATTTTTTTCATATATGTATGTAATAATACATATGCTAAAATGTCATGGAGAAAGCCTTTAGATTTTTTCTTTAGACTTCTTATCATTTTTGTAATCAATGAAGATACAAATTAAGTCCAGTGATTATTTAACATACCTACAGTGATCACAAAATTAAATTTATTATTCAGGAAACAAATATTCATGAGCCTACAATATGCCAGTCGTATTGGAGATTTGAAAATATATTTTCAAATTTATATTCAAAAATATATTGTAATGATTAAATTAAAAGGTAATATTTTGTTGAAATGACACATGGTAAGAATATTTCATCAGTTTTCACTCAGTGCCATTTAAAAATATCTATTAAAATGTGCTTGCAATAATGAGTTCTAGCTTTAGGTGATGAATAATAAAGTTTAAAAACATATGTTGACAAACACCTAAAGCTTATCTTAATATTACACAACTCTCTGCCCAAATGTGTTTTTAAAGATCAAAGTCTGAACAATATAGATGTCAAAATGTAATAAAAATGTAAGCTCTACTAACTTCATAATGGGCTTTTGCCATAACAACAACAAAAAAAACTCACCCTATTGGTGGTTACTGCTGTTACTATTCTATTTTGATTTTCTTTTCAACAAAAAATCATTTGCAAGTTCAAATTTCCATTGTGTGTCAAAGAAAGGATATCCTATAAAATACAAACCTAAAATATCATACTCTTAAGTTTTATATGGAAACAGTGATGTCACTTTCCGATGGTAATAGTCATCATTTTCTGCTGGGAAAATATCAATATTCTAAATTTAAATGTAATAACACTGTTTCAATTTAGCAAAACAAATTTTAAAAGCCAAAAAATAAAAACCCCCAAAATGATATTGTTAGTATGCTGAATAGGAAGCAGTTATCGAAAATCTTTTATTCACCATGATGGAAATGTCAAAATTTTTAGTTAAAGTACAAATCATTAAAAAGAAGAACAAGAAGAAAAACACCTTTAGTTAATGTTTCAATAGCTATTGTCACTATTTTAGCTCTACTTAAATATATTCAGTGTGTCTGAAATAAACAGAAAGCAGGACCCATGCCGTCTTCAGATTGTGCAGTGAATGTTGAATAATACCATATTATTTGATCATGCTTTTCTTCATTTTGGTTGATATTTTTATTTCCAAGGTTATTTATGCTTTCATCTGAAACTGCAGCTGAAGATCCTGGTGCATCTCTGAGAAAATACAAAAGGAAGAGAAAATCAAAATAGGACACAAAACATGAGAGCATTAAGTCATTAATTGCTTCCATATCCAATCCCCAGAACTTTATTTGACCCATTCTAAAATACATATTAAGTAGACACTAAAATTTTCATTTTATTCTTTAGTTTGCATATAGAGTAGATAAAGTGACTATCACTGTTATAAAGTATAGATATATGATTAATATATAGTTTCTGCTTACAAAAAGCCATACATTTCAGATTCAGTTAAAACAATTGCTTTTTTATTTCACTCAGTAAGTGACATCTAAAACTGTGTGACAATATGTTTCTAACAAGAGCAATAACAACACCAAAATCTTGGATAAAGATGACCAAAGTTTTTCTCCAACACTTCCTATTTCAGAGGTAGCCAATGGAATTTATAAGGGTAAATACTGAGTGTCTTAAGAAAATATCTCTTGTGTGCTTTTGTTCTTTAATAAGTGTAATGATTTTTAGTAAAATCTTTCATGTTTTTGCAACACATCTGTGATACTATAGTATTTAAGGATAGACGAAACATATAAGAAAAACAAAACTGCTCAAGAGAAAAGCAATTGTGGGTAGAGAAAAAAACCTGAATGTGTTATATGAGGTGCTAAATCAAAAAATGATAAAGATAGAGTTAATTACATGCAATCACTAATAACTGCAATTTAGAACATAACCTGATTGCATATCTGCCCTTTCTGTTCAGTATGTCTCCTCTATAGTCTTCCTAACTGCTGTCCTATGGGAATAAAGAAGACTAACTACCCAGAAGCAAAATCAAAGTTTGAGAATCCACAGATTGAATTGGGTAGAAGGACTTAATTCTGCACAGCTCCTGAAAGCTTTTTACAGTACTTAAAAAAGTAATTTTCTAAATTCCATAAAATAAAGAATGTTTAAAGTTACTCATAGAAATAAAATCATTCAGGTCTAGAACTATCATATCATTAAATAAGTCATTAGTAATATGTCTTTTACTTGCAAATGTAGTTCTCAAAAATTAATGATAATTTTGATACAAGTTACCCCATATATTATATAAAGGTTGGATTTTATTGTGGTAATTTTACTACAAAAGAATTAAAAAGTAACAATTTCTTATGTATCCATGAGTAATGGAAGTTAGCAAGAATACCAAACACTTCTGTAGAACTTACAAAAAACTCTAATCATCTTACATATTTACTTAAATCCTCCTGATATCAATTTAAGGAATAGAAAACCGCAGACAGTGAAGCTATGTAATTTATCCAAGGAAATACATCTATTTAAATAGGATAGGTTAGATTAGATTCTATCTTAGATCATCTAGCCAGAGTCTGTGTTCTTAACAATAATTTCATAGAAAAGAAATATAAAGGAAAAAGTAGAAAAGAAGAGAACTGGGATGGAAGAAAAGGGAGAGTGGAGATTAAGAATGAAAGAAAAAAAGGAAGGAAGGAAAGAAAGAAAGAAGGAAGGGGCAGGGAGGGGGGGAAGAAAATGACAAAGAAAGTCACAAAATATTTGGCTGTCAGATTATTCTCTTCACTTCAAACTGATAGGTACAGGAATCTAAATAAGAATGGTGATGACTTTGTTACTTCCTCTCTTCCGTAGCCTTTCTTGCTGGACTATTTAGAAGCTCAGAACCTCATACTTGGGAAACAGCTTGAGTACAGCGTCAGTGAGGCAGTGCTTAGCTTCCTCAACTACACATATCGGAGACAGTGAATTGAAAGCACTCATTGTTGATATAAGCAATTTTAACATCTTTATTCTTCATCTGATGGATGAGCAGAGGGCCTCTTCCTGAATGATTGCAACTGCATAAGAGAGCCATGGCTTTGGGTTATTTTACTATAGAAAGCACCTTTTGCCATGGGTCACAGTTGATTTTATTTCAAGAAGGTTAATCCCTCTGAAGGTGAAGAATAAATTTGCGGCATATTACTTCTGAGTAGCTCTCCTAGATGAGCAGAATTAACCAGTAATGATGCTCATTGATGCAGTCCAGGACAAGCAGTACTCAGTCCCAGGGTTTCATTATCTTCCAGGCAATAACACCCAGCTGTTCAAGGATCCTGTGCACACTCCTATCCCTATTTCTGTGCATCATGAGCTATGGACCTATGGATTGAAGGACAAAGCTTGACATATCCTTTATTGAGGAAAGAGAAGCAGACTACTGCCCATATTGCTATTGTTTAATCCTCCACATCCCTATGGACTTCTACACACTAATTTCTCTCGATTGCTTCAAATCGAAGATGAGTTATGACATTGGGACACTGGGTGAGCAGTTGCCCAAGGCCAAGTCCATACACCAAATTGGAAGGAGTTTATTTTAATATGTTCTTCTGAAGAGAGACAGTTAGATTGAAAAAATAATTTTCATTAATACCAGATTACATTATAGTGTTTTAATTATTTTAATATTTTAGAATTAATTTGAAACTTTTGTATTTACATTTTTACTTCTTATCTCAATTGCCTCAGTAACTAGATTGTCTTGTATAGTTTCTATCCCCATCAGTTCATTCAATTCATTTATACCCTACCTCTAAGCACAGCTTCTTGGAGCCTAACTTTTGGTATGTATGCCACTTATATGTACAATAGTTAGCATGCATTTTATGGAGTTGGAAATGAGGAATATGTTATCTCAGGCCCTACTTCATTTGTTTTGGTTCCTGATTTTTCAAAAGGTTAAGTTTCCTCTCAAAGACGCAAACATTGCTATTGGTCAATCCTTACAATTTAGGGGATATGCTTAACCATAGATGAGTTCCTCTTAAAACCAGGCAAGGGACCTAGTACTGTCAGGTTATAGCTGTTTCTTCTCAGTTCTTGGTGTGCTCTTGGCTGAAGAATGACCAGACACACCAAAGTAAGACAAGCACAAGTTGAGGTTTATTGAATAAAATAAGCTATATTTACCACAGACAACAGCCGGACACCCAGATGTAAGAGGAGGGCCCGGATTACGGTCTGGGGTCCTGTTTTATATTGCCTAGGCTGGGCCCTCCTTATGGTTCAAACGTCACTATCGAACCACTTTCACAGACAATCGGTACTTATGTAACCTGACTTTTAATGCACGTGTGGATCTCCCATGAGCCTCTTGAAAGCCCATTTGGGGGGGGGATGATCCATAATGTAGATTTATGCTAATGACGTGATAATTAGCTTTAGGTTGTTCTAGGTCACCTTCCAGACCCTATTGTGCCTGTGCTGCTTGGCCATGGGTGGGCTAGGGAATCTTCTGCATTCTTTTGCAGTTGGTGGCTAAGTTTTGATTGGCAGACTGATAGGCATTCCCTCCTCCCCCAGGTGTGGCAGTTGTTCTGCTTGGGGCACCTGCCTTTGTCCCCAGGAGGTCTGGAGGTCCTTCACTGCCTACCTAACACTACTTATACAGCATATCATTCTATGGTAAAAAAAAAAAAAAAAAAAAAAAAAGACAGAAGGGGACCAGGTTGCAAATGGACACTAAGGTAATCAGTTCTATGCCCTGTCTTTATTCTTAGAAATGGTTTTTCCTGCAGTCAAACTACGACTTTGAGAAAGAAAGGTTCATTTCTCCCAAAAGCCATTAAGGAGAATTTTTTTTTCTCTGCAAGACATACGCATTGATATTTTCCCCTCAACTTAGGATGAATCTATACCCCAGCCTGACCCTGTTCCTTCTATCTTATATTCATAGTGATTTAAAGTAATCATATTATATCTTTATGGTTTCATCAGATAAAAATCCTGATGATGATTATATTTTCTACTTTATGGAAAAAATTAATTAATTTTTTAATATCTTTTGTTGTGAAGGGCTTTCCAGCTACCACTGGCCCTTTCTTCCCTTCTATACTGTGTGTTCTTGTGTCTCAGATATCTGATGTTAAAGTTCCTCATGGCTCAATCTACTAACTCTTTTCTCTAAATATGTCCATTTCTTGTGTTTATATTCAGTTTCAGGGCTTTACTGTTATCTGTAGCTAATGATCCACAATTAAACTTCCATTTCTACCTCTCTGCTGAATTCAGGCTTCTAACTTCTATATCAAACTAACTCTTCTGTAGCTCACAGCACCAAAATATTAATATGTTCGAAAACAAGATCCCCATATCCCTCTCTAAATCATGCCTACATACAATCTTCTTATCTCAGTTAGTGAACCTTTCACACATCCTGTTGCTCAGGACAATTACCTCCTGAGTCAGACTTGACCCTTTTCTCCTACAACACAATTTCCACAAGGTCAGAAATTTTGTTTGCCTTATTCACTGATATAGCTCAAGACCTAAAATGTTTAATGTATTGTAGGTTCTCAAAAAGTGCTGAATTAAAATACATACTTATGTTAAAGTTTATATCAAATTTTTAGGAAATAAAGTCAGATTTATTTATTTATTTTAGGTTACAGAATCTAAGCACTTCTTATTATCTCTGTGGACACTATCCTAGTTCAAGACACCATCCTCTTGTGACAAGATTATTGTAATAGTGTCTTGGTCTCTGCTCTTTTCCTGTAGAGTTTATTTTTAATTCAGTTGCTAGTAAGATCCTATTAAAACATGCATAGCTGACTCCTCTATTCAAATCCCTCTAGTTACATAGGCTGTCACTACAAGTAAAACTTGAGTACTTAAAACAAGATTTTTTTTTTCTGACTGAATCTATTACTCCTGGGTTTAATCATTCTTCTTCAAGCTCATTCGCTGCTCTTTGCTCCTCAAAATTATCATACATTTCTTACTTGAGACCTTTGCATTCATTATTTCCTAGGTCTGTGTCTGGAATGCTCTACAGGACTTATCCCTTGCTCCCTATGTATTTGCTCAATATTATGAATGAAGACTTTCTGGATCATGCTGTCTAATTATAACCTCTGCCTTCAATCTCTGACACAATGTTTTTCTTTGTCACTTATTTCACCCAAATACACATGTGAATTGGCTTATTTTTTTGTATAGCTTTTTCACTAGAATGTAAACTCCATGAGAATAGAAAATTTTGTTTTATTTATAGATACATCACCAGTGCCAAAAATTGTGCCTGGTGCAGGATGAATTTGTTTTGTTTTCCTAAACCTGACTTTTCTTCCTGAAGTTGCCATGAGTTGTATCTAAATTATTTTATGAACTTTCTACCTAATGTCCCTGACTCTCTACTCCTCTTATGTCTCTATAGTAAATTGCCTACAATAAATCAATCTTTTTTCTTTTTCTTTCTTTCTTTTTTTTTTTTTTTTTTTTTGAGACAGAGTCTCACTCTGTTGCCTGGGCTAGAGTGCTGTGGCATCAGCCTAGCTCACAGCAACCTCAAACTGCTAGACTCAAGCAATCAGTGTAGCTGAGACTGATCCCTTGCACCACCATGCACCACCATGCCCGGCTAATTTTTTCTGTATATTTTTAGTTGTCTAATCAATTTCTTTCTATTTTTAGTAGAAACGGGTCTCGCTCTTGCTCAGGCTGGTTTCAAACTCCTGACCTTGAGAGATCCACCCACCTTGGCCTCCCAGAGTGCTAGGATTACAGGCATGAGCCCGGCCTCAATCTTCTTTTTCAATCATCACTTCCTCTACTGGCTCACCATTTCAATCTCATTTTTTTCCTAGTATTGCCTTCACTATACCAATCAACATCCAAAGTATGTTGTTCATTATCTTTTCTTTTTTTACTGAAAAGAAGATTCCACAAGAAATCAGCCTCCTTTATTATTTGCTATATCCCAGTGTCTTAGCAAAATGACATGCCTAACTGTCCTTCAAAATATTGTTGAATAAATAAATAATGATAAAACCTCAGATACGGCTAGGTGCAGTGGCTCACACCTATAATCCTAGCACTCTGGGAGGCAGGAGGATCTCTGGAGCTCAGGAGCTCGACAACAGCCTGAGCAAGAGTGAGACCCTGCCTTTACTAAAAACAGAAAAAAATTAGCCTAGCTTGGTGGTGCATGCCTGTTGTCCAAGCTACTTGGGAGGCTGAGGCAGGAGGATTGCTTGAGCCCAGAAGTTTGAAATTGCTATAAGCTATGATGATGCCATTGTACCCTAGACTAGGTGACAGAGCAAGACACTGTCTAAAAAAAAAAAAAATCCTCAGATGCAAATATAATTTAATTGCTGTGATTATGGTATTTCTGAAATAAGTGTATTCCTATTCCAAAAACATATTTTTAGTAGCAGAAACTTTAATAATGATGCAAGTTCTATTATAGACATTAAAATAAATCAATGTAGATGTATATCGTAAACTTGGAACAAAATGAATGCTTAACCATGGTAATTTTTTTCTTTCTTGAACATGAAAATTAAATTCAGAAATGGAATAATACTATTAAAACCTTCACATCTTTGGTATATAAGTTTGGAAACTATTTATATGGAAACGATAATTTATATGCTAGATGGGATTCATGATTGTAATTTGTTAAAAGGTATGAGATGAAAGTTAGATATCTGGAAAGCAAGATGAAATGGGAAAAAGTATGCAAAATCTGAACTGCTTGTAACATATTTTCATTTGTTTCAGTTTCCTTGACATTTCATCCATAAAATGAATTAGATTTTTGTGAAATAAAATAAAAAATCTTAACCCTCCCCACTGACTGACTGGAGCCCCTCTTGACCAATGGGACCCCAGAAATACCCTAAAGCTGAGTTATTGGCCATAAGAAGGGAGGTCAGACATGCGCTGTCATGCCCCCTCCCTTCTTGAAGATACCCTTTGCAACTCATTAACAGGCCTAGGACTAGGCAGGAAAAAGGTTAAATCACACCTGCTGGCCATCAATTTATTTAACAGGTCACTTGAGTCTGGGTATGTGCCCAGTATAGTCCTTTGGCTTGTCTCTGATGAACAGACTTTCTTATCGTAACTTAAAATATTCCAAGCCTTTAGACAATACTTCATTTCTTTAACTAATTACAAATCGAAGAATCTTTAAACCCACCTATAAACTGTAATTCCCACTTCCAGATGTTCTGCCTTTTTCGTCAAAACCAATGAACACGTTCTATGTAAATATTTATGACTTCATAAGTAATTCCTGTGTCCCTGAAATGTATAAAACCAAACTGTAATTCAACCACAGTGAGCCCACTTGCTCAAGGCTTCTTGGATTGGCTTTCCCGGCATGGTCACTCACATATTTGGCTCAGAATAAACCTCTTTAAATTATTTTACAGAGTTTGGGTTCTTTTCCTTTGGCAATTTTGAATTCACATAAATCTCCATAAATTAGAAACCATATGAATTTAGTTACAAAGTTTTTCAACTCAGTATAATTTAGTATATTTCTCATATAGAACTACTTGGATTGCAATGAATTCTTTGCAATAATATTGTACTAATTTAAATAGAAGTATAAAAACTTATTCTATCTCTGTTAGTTAGGTAGTAAGGGATTCTGGCTTTCCTAGAGACAAAGGCAGACAACCTGCCTTGGCACTGCCTCACCCAATTGCCACACCTGTGGAAGAAGATCCAGGACAGACCCCCATCTTGGGCTGCCCCACCTTGATCCTGCCCTAGCAACTGCCACACCTGGGAGAGAGAGGAATGATCCACCAGTTTGCAAAAGAATGCAGAGAATTCCCTAGCCAGAGGGCCAGGCAACTCAAGCACAATAGAAACTGGAAAGCAACATAGATTAACCTAAGGCTAATTATCTCTTCATTAACTGTCCATCAAAGTAGTTTCATGGTGCTGTCTGAACCACAAGAGGGTCCGATCCAGACAGTAAAAAACAGGACCACAGACCATAATCAGAGCTTCTTGTTAAGACAGGGGGTCCATTTGTTATCTGTGGAGAACTATCTTGCTCTTACTCTATAAACCTATATTGCTCTTCCTCAATAAACTTCATTTCATCCTTGCCTTCCATTTGGTGTGCCTGGTCATTCTTCAGCCAAGAGCACACCAAAAACTGAGAACAAGTTTGCTGACCCAACATTTCAGCTTATGTGTAGTTAGCTAGACTTCAAATTTATACTTTGGATTCCTCTTGATAAAAAGCCAAGAAAATAATATAAATAAACAGAAAAGAAGAGAAAATGCTAGATTCTATCATTGTAGCATTAGTAAGAAATAAAGATGAATAGATATTTGACATCCTTGGATGTCTGGATAACCTAAAACCCAAGATGTTACTCTTATAAAACTATACATATTCAATATTTCAAGTTTTTAATTCCTTGTTCAACCACTATAACAAATGGAATGGCCTGAAAGAATGTAAAATACTTTATAAGCTGGTTTTTTTTTACTGCCCCCACTCTTTTTGGGGACTAAAACCTACATCCCTGCCTAAGGCCAGTAATCAAGGGGGCAGGGAAGTGTTTTATGTTTCTTTGTACCACAGGAGCCCTGGGTTAAATTGACAGTGGGGGATTGAGAGTTATTCAGTTGTCCAGAGGGAAAAAAGGTAAATATTTATATGGGCCCTAAATATGCTTTTATGTTTGTGCATGCTCATGGTGCCATCTGGAAGGAAAGGGGGCTCCTAATGGCAAGAAATAAGGATATTAAGTGTGCCACTGAAATAATGGCCCCAATCCAGGCCATGGCTGAGCCCACGCAGGTGGCCATCATGCACTGTCCTAGTCACCAAAAAGAGAGACATTTATATTGCAAAAAGAAATCAGGCCACTGAATGTGATCTTTTCCCCAGGGACTTGTTACTCCAGCTAAATTTAGATCCCCTTTAAAATTAAAGATCGGGGCTCTCAAATTTGCAATGGCCTTGCTAAATGGAGACAGAATTCTCATGGACTCATTCTCTTACCCAAAGCCATGATTCAGCCTCTTACTAGGCACCTACATGAATGCACACATTAGGTGTGTGTTGTCTTAATGGATTTGGTGGGACCTCATTGAACAGGACCCCATTTGCAACAAACTATTTATGTGCTCAAAACAATCCAAAGACAGAAAAGTGACCTGTTATACAGGGAACCCAACATGTGGGGACCCACCCTCTTGATGACTGGTAAATTGATTTCACTCAGGTGCCTAAACTTGTATTAGTAGATACCTTTTCAGGCTGGGTAGAGGCTTATCCTGCCTGAATGGAGAAAGCATCTGAAGTTATCAGAATCCCTCTGAAAGAACTCACTCTGAGATGGGCTCCTACGAGGAGCTGCTGGCTTGGGACAGGGCCTTTGCCAAGTTTCTGCATGCATGTGCCAGCACAGAGCAGGAACAGGCCTTGGAGGATGACGGGATGATGGGCATCAGCAATTGAAGGAAAAAGGCCAAGCAGATAGAGAACTGCATGCTGGTGATGGGCCAGCACAGCAGCTAAGACAGCTCAGCAGCTCCTCCTTCTACAGCAAGGACATCAGCAGGCACCACAGCAGCACCACCAAGCTGCAGAAAGCCAGGTCCAAGAAGGAAGAGACCTGGAAACTGATGGAGGTGGACAAGGCTCAGAGAGGGAAGGTCAAGCTGTCTGTGTCCTTAGACTATAGTTTGTTAAGCCCCTAAGAAAAAGTTTATGAAAGACCCTTTCTAGCACCCCAAGGTAATTATGGTAATATAACCATGAGTAAAGAAAACAGACTAAAGCAATATGTCAAGTGAGTGAGTTAGATACTAATCACTTTGCATGAGTTTGCCTTTTTCAGATCCCCACCCCAGTTGGGAGTGGAGAAGTGGAAGGTACCCTATAAGGTGCTTTAACAACTCACAACTTGTTAAAACTGTCTGGAGTAAAAACCTTGGGTTCATCATACCAGAGTAAAGAGGTGTTCTGTGGAAGAATAGGACCCAAGCCCCCAGTGGATGGGCCAGCCTTTCAATAATCTAAAGTATTGTTTAAGAAGAAGGAAAAATGGTAATGTTGATATTTTCACTAACCTTTCTTTGGTTATTTGTTCTGTCAGTGGCATGGGGATATAACTCCTTATTTCCCCAGGCTATTGCCTCTTCGCTGACCTGTCTCAGTGCTGAGTTTGTCATATTAAACCACATTCAGTACATGTATTCCTGTATTTGATTTCTGAATTTTCAGAAGCCAGTCTTTGGATCACCTACAGGGTACAATTTATAGTTCCATACTTAGTGGTCCCATGTTTCTTTCTTACTCAGCCCTGGTATCAGACATTTGTGCAAGGTGACAGTAAGGACCCATAGTCCTACTGGTGTCTTAGATATCAAGCTGGGTAAAATCTCTTAACAGGCATCATCCTCCATTTCACCTTGGCAGTCCCCACAGACGTAGTTGTTGCCTATGTGCTTTTTCACCTGGTAACCTGTTGCAATTTTTATTTTTGTAAATCTACTGCCAAAGGTTTGCAATGGCATAAATAAGTATAAAACTTCCATCTAAAACATGGCCCCAATTCAGCAGGAAGTAGCTCAATACTACCAGTACTATGTAGCCCCTCGTCCCATAGATATGGAAGGATAAAATTGATGGTGGGGAATATGTAACAGAAGGAATGGCTTGAAAAGGGTAAAATGTTTTATGAGCTGTCTCTTTAACATCCCCTACACACTCTTTTTTGGAATTAAAACTTGCATCCTTGCCCAAGGCCAGTAATCAGGAGGGCAGGGGAGTGTTCTCTGTACTACAGGAGATGACTCAACACAATTGTCCAGGCAGAGGTCATGAGATTGTCTTTACCATCAACTATCATTAAACTGCAATAGCCCCAAGCTGAAAACTCCTTTTAAAAGCTCTGTATTTATGCCTATTGATAGGACATTGGTACTTTAAGACAAAAGTCTGACATCCTCCTCATTTGTCAGCAAATTAATAAACTTCCCTGTCCTTCTCCTCAGGCCACAGTCCTTGTTCTTCTGATGCAGCCTCATGGGCAAGTGCCAAAATTTCTGTAACATTGCCTTTTCTGGATTTGATGCCCTCCTATTTAATTCTGTAAGGATTTGACAAAACATGTAAGTAGTTTTTAAGAGCTTAGACAAGAAAAATTCACATTTTCCCACATTGAAATATGAGAAAATTTGAAATACTGAAAGGAAATTAAAGAATGGCCTCTTCTCATTATTATTCTTTAATTTCTCCATTTTAATTCTTATTTTTCTCTCACTTTTCATAGGAAATTAGGTAGGAGGTGTAGCAGAATTTTTTTTTTAATGTGAAGCCATGTAAATTTAGCTCCACAGTTTTCGAAGACAATAGAGTTCAATATATTTCTCATAGAGAATTACTTGGATTACTATGAATTCTTTGGAATAATACTATTCTAAACTGATCATTTTAAAATAAAATTAAAATGTTATGCAAAAACAAACTAGCATTTTATTCCTCTGATTCATCATATTGCCATTTATGAATGGAAATATCACACCGATGTTCTGATCTTAAAGTCTATATAGTCATTATATACATCAGTGTATATTCTGAGAATGGCTTCTTCCAAGCTCATCCAAATGGTTCTATGTCATTGGTTTTAGGACCAGGTGCAGCCTCTCCAGTTACCCTTCCCACTTAAGTTGTATGAGTAGCTTCAGCTGTTCAACTAAAATTAGTTCAGCCTCTATTGTTATTCCTAGTGACACACTTAAACCTGGGGAATCACAGCAGGATGATAATTCTGTTTTATTGCTTTATATCAATTGACAGCTTCTGCTTCCTGTGTGGCAGAAGAAAGTACCAAATATCTTTGAGTCCCCCAAGTGTGCCATTAACATAAATAGTATTTATCCTCTGTTGGATACAAAATTGATTGAAAACAACATGGTCATCTTGTGTCTGATTCATCAAGCATTATTTCAATTATATTGCTAATGTCATGGTTTTTTATGTAGGGCACTCATTCAGTTCATCCAGTACTTCTCAACCTAATATTAACTAGACAATTTATATTTGTCTTCTTGTGTTTTTCTTAGATAAAAGGATGAGCATGAACTCAACATATAATTATACAAGAAGGCCCAATTTAACTTGAGGTTCTTTTTTTTTTTTTTTCACATGCCTATATACTTTAAAAATAGAAATTGGGTTAAGAGAAAGAGTAACTGAATAGCTCATAGACTTTCCAAAGAGATGTGGACCATTCTTTTTCTGCATGTTATAATTTCATAAGAAAGAAAATCCTGGGTTGTAAACTGGAACATATAGTCTTTTCTTCCCCCCAAAAGATGAGTGTACACTCTCAAGAGTAAGGACCTGGGGTTCTTCCATTCATAGGAGGATGGATATTCCCAATTCTATATAAGTTCAGAAATTTATACTTCTAGGTATATCTCCTAGAGTTGATCCTCCTCTACATGTAGGTTTATAACATGCGGATGTCATCGTATCACCTGTGGGGGGTTATCTCGGGTGATCAACCCTGCAAAGGTATTGTAGCTAGTGTCTTAGTGCTGATCTCTGAACAAAGGGGCTTATGTTGCTGCTTTTATAATTACACACATACACACACACACACACACACTCCTATTTTAAGAATTCAGTAAATATTACTTCTCAGTTCTAATCCACTATAATGAAATTTCGATGATTACATATTGATTAAAAAATGATTATTTTGCCTATTCAAATATATTTCCCTTTTTATTTCTTAAGTGTCTGAAATCTTACTATAAATACATATATATTCTGAAATATGTAATCATAAATTATAAATATGTATAATCATAGAATTTAATATGTAATTAAAATATATAATTAGAAATTCTGAGGGGTCTGACAGTTTATTTTATGTATAAATATGTCTATTTATATCTATATAGATATAATTTATCTACAAAAATTTATATATAAAATAAACTGTCAGATCTCTCAGAATTTGTGATTTTAGAGGGAGTACATCCCCAGATTTGGAAACTGTGTTGTCTTTTACTGGGCAGCATATTTGACTGATCCCCCAATATCTATATTGAGAAAAACCAGCACCCAAAGCTGGAATTATCAAACAGGTGTTAAATCAAACTCGGTTTGGACTTTAGAAGCCTCTGTAGGAACCTAAGTAACAAACTGCAACCTCACTCATTATGTAAACAAGCTGAAGATGTAATTTAGGAGTCTCAGCCAACCACAGCAGCTGAGCAGTCAACTAGCTGTCTCTATACCTCCCATCCATTTTCTGTACATCATTTCTCTTTTTTTGTCTGTAAATGTTTAACCCTGTGGCAGCCCTGGAGACACTCTGAATCTATTCTGGTTCTGAGAGTTGCTCAATTGTTCTTTATTCAATTAAACTCTGTTACATTTAATTTGTTTAAGGGTTTTTGTTGTTGTTGTTGTTGTTGTTGTTGTTGTTTTCAACAAGAGTAAAATCTCAGGGAACTTTATCCTTTAAGGTAATATCTGTAAGAATTTCTCCTTTTAGAATGTGAAGTCTAAGGAAGAGATTTAAATAAATGTATAGAAGTCCCCCCTTATCTGCAGTTCTATTTTCTGCAGTTTTAGTTACTTGAGGCCAACCATGGTCCAAAAATAGTCAATTAAACATTCCTGAAATAAACAATTCATCAATTTTAAATTGCATCCCTATGTGAGTAGTTTAATGAAATCTCCTGCCACCCTGTTCTGTCCTGACCAGGATGTGAATCATCTCTATGTTCAGCATGTCCATGCTGTAGAAGCTACCCACCCATTAGTCACATAGCAACGGTCTCATTTATCAAGTGGAAAAAAAACATAGTATATACAGTTTGACACTATTTGTAGTTATAGACATTCATTGGGGATCTTGGCATGTAGCCCCTGTGCAAATAAGGGAAACTACTTTATTTCTGTTTTTGATACCACGATACTATTCATTGTGCCACTTTTCTTAGCTTTAGTTTCTCTTTTTTTAGAAAATGTTTGTGCCAAGGAGTGCATAATAATTTTTCTATCTAGTGCACAGGGCCATTATTAAAGTTGTGACCATATGATAGAAACATTTTGTACTCTTTGATGAGCTATATCAATGAGTTTTTTGAAATGGTTCTACCTTTCATTCTATATTTTCAATGTTCTATCTTCAAAATTATCTGAAGGGCAAATAAATAATTTGGGAAATGTGGAATATTTTGCCCATGCTTGAAGAACTACAATATTGTATAATACAGAAAGTTCTACAAAGTTCAATACTGTTTTTCTTTTTTTTTCACTCAGAGTTCTACCAACTTACTTGACCTCAGAAAGCTATTTTTTTCTTACTGGTTTTACACAATGTTTGGCATATTGTAAGGAACAACAGCAAGCTGACCAGAGCTCTCAGTAAGCTTTCTTTTGACTCCTCAAGGAATAATGAATGTTGTTAACTTCCAGTTTTTGCTGTCTACTAACAAACAAAAATATTCTCCTTTTTGAGGAATTATACTCACTTATACATTTTCTTTCCTTTTCTGGAGGTAGAACTGCTCCACTTAATTCCCATGCTCTTTCTTGACTGTCAACTTGACAGAGGAGGAATGAGTGCTATGAGATCAGGATTGAAAGGGTCTGAGTGGTGGTAGTGAAGTAACTTCACCAGTGGTGAAGCAATACCAACAGATTTACCAATCAATAAGGGAAAATTAATTTTTTTATTTTTTTTGAAAGTTAAAATTTTATTTAATGGTGATCCTAGCCCCTGGATAGAGCTGGAACCCAGTCTACTAAGTGAAGTATCACAAGAATGAAAAAACAAGCACCACATGTATTCACCATCAAAGTGGTATTAACTGATCAACATTTAAGTGCACATATAGTAATAACATTCATAGCATGTCGGGCAGATGGGGAGGAGAAAAGGATGGGTGTATTCACACATAATGGGTACGGTGCTCACCGTCCGGGGGATGGACATGCTTGAAGCTCTGACACAGGTGGGGAAAAGGCAATACATGTAACCTCAAAATTTGTACCCCCATAATATGCTGAAACAAAAAATTCTATAAAAAATAAAAATAAAATAAAATAAATCTATAATTACTCAAAACAAAAAATAAAAGAATGTTGCCTTTGGCCATTCACAATTCTGTTATCATTTCAGGAGTTTCATAATAAAAAGAACAGAAAAATGTAATTTCAGTGCCACTTTTATTTTTGTTCTGTGTGCCTCATTATTTGGCACCAGGAGATGTGCATTGCTGCCAAGCTGTTAAATTTTAGATATTGCCAGTTCTGTTGGACTGGTGCTGTATGTCCTTAGACTGAGGATATTACAGCTCTTGACTACTTTTTCCTAGCTCTTCTTTTCTGTGCTTAGCTCTCTAGGGGCTGTTCAATCAAGACTCAATAAAAATTGTTGAACTGTTCAGATTTTTTATTGAGAGCCTTGATGCTACAGCCCCACAGGAGCCCACGGAAGAAAGGATTATCCTCGTTATCATAAAGAGGCAAAGAGAATGCCAAGGACAAGGAAAGGCATAAAACCAAAGGCTGCAATGCAATGCAATTGACCAACTCAGCCACCTTTAGAAAAATCCAAGGTGAACAAGACATTAACATCAAACAAAAGCTAAGAATATGAGGACTTAAAGTGTATATCAAAAAGAGCTTTCAGTTATAACTCATATTTACCCATTTTTATATACATAGATACAAATGGTACCTATTAAGTAGAATGGTTTTCTTCCGCTAAAGAGTGTAGTACACCTCAATATAGAGCAATTCATTTCAGCATTATTTCATGCATATAAGCCCTTCTATTAAGACAGGTCACAGGCTGGGCACGGTGGCTCATGCCTGTAATCCCAGGACTCTGGGAGGCTGAGGTGTGAGGATTTGCATGAGCTCACAAATTCAAGACCAGCCTAAGCAAAAGCAAGACCCTGTCTCTACTAAGAAAACAAAAAAACAAAACAGATAAATTAGTTGGGTGCTGTGATGCATGCCTGTAGTCATATCTACTAGAGAGGCTGAAGTAGGAGGATCACTTAAAGTCAGGAGTTTAATGTTGCAGTGAGTTATGATGATACCACTGTACTCTAGCTGGGATGACAGAGTGAGACTTCATTTAAAAAAAAAAAAAAAAAACACAGGTCATGTTGTGATACATTTCATTATAGATACATCCAACTACAACTTTTTAGCAGTAGTCTCAAAAACTTTTGTTTTGCTATCTTTCTATATGAAAAGACTGACAGTTTATTTGAACAGCTTCTGTAGACAAATGTAAAATACAGTACATATCAGCTGAAATAACTTCTTGTGTGGGAAATAAAAAGCCATACTTTAACTTGAGGAACCAAATTAAGAGATTCAAAAATGTCTACAGTCATTTGAGGTTCTCATTCATTCATTCAGTAGACTTGATCAGGCACTCCAGTTGGGACAGAGGATATAGACATGCATATAATTCAAACTCTGACCTTCAGAACTATATTTAAATCAATTGTGATGTGTAGACAGATTCAGGTAAATGAATAATATTATTTGTGTCAATAGAGACTTAAATATGATGAAACAAAGTGAAAATTTGGCCTGTAGTAAATCAGTAATAATTTATTGAGGAATTATTTCAGTAACTAATAAGCTCTAAGTGTTATGGAATAATCCATATTCTTTTCGTCTGTGCTAGGTTCTGTTAAAAGTGAAGAATTACAAGGCATTTCACAGAAAAAATGTGTCTGTGTTTTATATATTTTACACAGGATGTGATAGGTAAGCTCCTCTTGCCTAGAATACAAAATGTCAACAATGTATGAAACGATATTTTTGGTAATATAGTTATTATATTTAACGTTCATTTTATTAATTCCCTTGTATTAAACATGGTGCTATTGATCCACCAAGAATAGGAGATTCATTGCTGATTTATAAATATTCCCTGCTTAATTATTCTCACAATAAGATCCTAGAACAGAAAGCAATAAATTGAATGATTATCATTACCAACATCTCTAGCCCGATGTTTCAGCCCTGTTTGTGTCCATATTTCTTTCTTTGGTTGCTCATGCATCAACCAGGCCAATTATGTTACACTCTTGGGTGCCGTGTGAGCATGTGAATATTTATAAATCTGACCAGGTGAGTCTAATGTGGAGTCAAGTTTGAGATGCATTATTTTAACTCTACTTTAAAAGGAAAATCTAGAAACCATGATCATGCTTAATAATTTAGTTTTGTTGGATTTTATTTCATTGATTAGCAGCAGCCATGAATAAATTGAGACACTGTGGAAATAATATTTTAAATATTATATGTGACTGTGCATCACAAAAATGAGAAACAGTTCACATGTTAATTAATTTAAAAATAATAAAATGTTTACTAATTAATAAAATAAAAGAGTTCACAATATAAAATGGAAACATGACACTTCTAAAAATGTAAGTTAACATTTCTTTTGTGTGAACAATCTTTGAAAACTTTTACTTTTGTCCTGTTAGGATGACGTTATGCAAACTTCATATGGCATTCTAGAAAAATAGAATGGAGGCAGATTTTCTAAGTGTTAGGAAGATAAAGGAGAAAGAAAAACACAGGGAAATATACATGAATGAGCAAAATAATTTCTTTTTATTAATATATGAATAGTAAAATTTGATGATGATGGATTGGAGTTCAGAAGTCATGTTTATTGAATTCCTAAAATATTATATATTAGGTTGCTATATATATGTTATATATTATCTCATTTAATTACCAAGATAATGCTGGGAGTTAGGAGATACATTCTTTATAGATAAGACATATAAAGCTTAGGTAAATTATTGTAAGGTAACGCAGTTCTCAAAAGATGGAGTCAGAATTGTATTCATGTTTATCCAATGACAAAAAAGATCTTTTACTTTTTTTTGCATTTTATACCCTATTTTTATTTTGAAGTAATTTCAAATTTATAGTAAAATAGCAATAATGGTAAGATAATCTTTTTGCTTTCCCTAAGACACTTGAGAGTGAGTTGCTGACAGAATGTCCCATCATCCTGAAGTCATTATTGAATATTTCCTACAAGAAAAAAAGAATATTCTTTCGAATAATCAAAATATCAACATGAAAATTAGAAAATTAACATTGATCTGGTACAATTTTCTTATTTATAGTCACTATAATTTGCTTATTATTATAATAATGTCCTTTATAACACAATGATTCAATCCAAGATAATGTGTTACATTTGGTTATTAGTCTCTCTAGTTTACTTCATTCTGGAACAATTCTACAGTCTTGCATTGACATTCATGACCTTGAAACTTTTGAAATTTCCAGCAGATATTTTAAAGAATGAGCCTCCATTTGGGTTTGTTTGATGTTTCCTCATGATTCAATTCTGGTAATGTATTTTTGGCAGAATATCATAGGAGTAATGATACATTGTTCTCACTGTATCCATTAGATGGTGCACAATTTAATTCTCCCATTAATGGTGTTGTTAATATTGATCACCTGACTAAGGAGATCTGATGACTCACTGGAACTACTATAGTATTTTGTGGACAGACTATATAAATATTTAATTTTATCACATGTTTACTCATTCATTTTAGCATGTTTTGATTTTCTTCTTGGTTAAATTAATTGTTAATATGATTATTTTGCTCTTTCTGATGTCATTTAGTCAGAGATATATTGAGTGAGTACATTTGGATATGTAAAAATAATCATATTTAACTCTTTGGGTTAAAAACTTCCAGCAAAAAAGTATTTTTCTTTCTTCTACCATGCTTGGACTTAGTCTATTATTGCTCTGCTTGACTTTCTCTTAATGTATTTAATCTTTTCTCTTGCCTTATTTATTTAAAGTTATTGAGGACTGAATCAGAACATCATACAAAGAAGGATCAAAGAGAATTTAAAAATCCCTGTGGACAATCATAAAAACCAACCAAGGTTTCATCAAAGGCTTTCCATTGTGATCACTGCTCCTCAGTATGCATCTGGGCTCTATCCAGGACTGGATATTTATGGAGATTAGGACAGAAACTAGTCATCTTCTACAAAGTTTATTGTATTTATTTATAGATACATACAGATACTGTTTGAAGCTTAGTGCCTAAGGGAAGAACAGGAAAGATAAGGGACATTACTAGAACAGATCACCTAGTGGGGTGCGTGCACACATACTTGTGTGTGTATGTGTGTGTTATTCTTACCAGTTTGGGGGAAGTAGGAAGGGATGAAACATTTAAACTGAGATGCAGAGCATCAGTAAGCATTTGAATTAAGAAAGTTTTCATATAGAAAGAACAAATATTGTGCTTATTTAATTAGGTATGTAAATTAGGAAGTTACATGACATGGTC